GCTGTCAAACCTACACTAGCAAGGAGATCGGGCTGAAACTATAGCTACAAGCTATCCAAGGATGGTACTATAGAATGTCACCTCAAGGTAGGCCTAGTGGCGTCATCTCTTGGTTAGGCCGGAAACTTATCAATCCACCCTCGTATTATAGAAGTGTTTATCCAAAGGAGCTTTTTAGAATTATTAACTCATAGTCATAGTTTTAATACAATTGACGAGAATGTAATGAATGGTGTTAACAGACAACATCTATAACAGAAACTACATATTTGGCAAGACAAGTAAGTTCGTATTAGAAAGGATTATGTATATAAGAAAAGCTGCGAGATAGTATATTATTAAAAATGATTGGCAATCCTTCTACTTCACATTGATACTTTTTGAAATTCTTTGTATATTTAATTTAAATAAATATTATTCTTTATCCTTATTCATAAATATAGGATTGTCCAACTACATAATAGACTAGGTAAGTACTAGGTGGTGACACTCCTGTGTTTTGATCAAAAGGCTAATCAGGCTTTCACGACCTGTAGTATCTGAATTGTGCTTCATATATATGAGCTTCATAATCGTGGCTTAGGATTGGTTTTCCTCTTCCGGTGAGAAACACCAATGGGGTCGTCTATTGTTAATAAATATCTCGTTTGTTTTATCCCTTTAATATTCAATAACCATAATAACCGAACATGATAGGGGTTTTCACGGTGTTTTAGAGATTCGTTTACTATGCTAGATTAAAATTAGTTATAAAGTTAGTTATTCTATACTGTAAATGCAACTAAAACAAAAAATCGTATTCGACTGCGTAAAAGGTCGGAAACAAGAGTTACTTATTACGGATTGAAATTTCATCTTCGTCTTAAAACAATCTCACATTAGCTGACCTTGACAAAACACTGAACCATTAAAATTAAAATAAATATTCTTATGAATATATCTATTGGATGATAATAGTTAAAGATTTTTCTACTTACATTTAAAATATAAATTCAAGATCTCAAAATAAAAAAAAGTTTCGTACAAAGGTACGTCCGGAAACGCTTCCATAAATTATATTTGTGCCTCTCCAATGGTGGGGACCAAATTTTTTACATTTTTTGTATTCTTGAAAATGACTGAATAGGTCAAAACAATTATCGAGTTGTTTTTTATTATATGATTGTTGAAACATTCTTTTCTTTTAATTAAATATTTATTTTGAGTCCAGGATGAATACATAGGTTGTGAATATTATATTTTTTGTTATTGAAAAGCGAATGGTTCCACAAAAAAAAATGGATCATAAAATTTTGTAAATAAAGCGAGGTTGTGAGTCCATATTCTTTTACAATGCAATTCCAACTCGTAAAAAGTTGTAGTGAAATAGTAAAATAGGGGTTGCTAATTTCACCCTTTGTAATAATAGCAGATGATTAACAAGAAGGCCCTGTTTGCCAAAATTTATTTTGCTTCTATTGCGAAAATTGAGAAAACAATAATTAAAAACCAATTTTTGGCCCCATCGCAAAAGACCTTGCTGTACCTTATTTTTAACACCTTGTACACTTGCAATATGATTCCTCATAAATGATAACATAACAAAATTTACTGAAATTGTGTCAATGATTATATCAATCTTTCGAGTTGATTAATTGTGTCATATACACATACATATGTGAGCATTGAAATATCATTATAAGACACTAAGAAGGTTGACAACAAGACATTTATATGCGAAAAGTCCCTACAAAATCTTTAAATTAGGAGATTAATTAACTGAAATTAAATAAACACGTCAACATTCATTCATTATTTTGAGGCATGGCAGGATTTTTAAAGTGATACGATAAAGAGAGTTTGCGAAAGAACATACAAGATTTTTGTAAAATTTTGAAAGGATAATGTACGACTCAATTAAATAATTTATAAATTCGTTTCTGCATTTGACTTTTAGGGATCGTCTGGGAATGTAAAGATTCCTTTTCCTCATGTGAATATTCTATCTCACATCGATACAACAGCTACTACTTACATTCTTGCATTATAAAAGCAGGAATCACAAATTACCGTGTTTATTTTGGAGCAATTACATGATCTACAGTAATAATACACTGAGGCATTTTCACAAGGACTACAATGGGATATATACGAGTAACTTCCTTATCATGGATAAATATCCTACATACATGAATAACATTGTTTAACGTTTTTACACAAAACCGCAACCGTTACAATCTCTTGAGATACTTTTTAGCCTCAAATATAAATTGTACCGTAAATAATTATATAACTGAAATCTCCACAACTTGACCGTTGTAAATGAACTCCCCGTGAAGTTATAATAAAGTGCACCTGACGTACGCTTCTTCACATAATAGAAATGAATAAATAATACATTTGACTGATGAGGAAGGAAGAAACTTACCAAATTTATGAGAAGTGCCGGTGGGAACCTCATTTTACATAGATAGATGGGCTGCTGATAACGAAAAGATAATGTCCGTGCACAAACAGTAAATAAGTACTAGGTATACCTATAATTATAACAACAACAATAATAATTCTCTCACGCGGAGAAAATGCGAGAAGCAGAGCAAGAAGTGCTAGTTTGTATGTGTTTGTTGCCTTTCGACTGCCATGAGAAGATGATATGGTTGTAGAAAAAGAGATAGAGAAGGGGGATGATTGGGTAATGATCGAACGCAATGTGCCGCTGTTTGCATGTACATACGTAGGTACGGTACATGCCAACGTATCGTCGTGGTTAAGTACCTAATGCACTTCACTCACCTTGAGACAATGATCTAGTTTGCCGAAAGTGGGTGATGCCGATCACAAGACTCCTTGTGCGATCGCTGGGATCCCGCGCTCCCGCCTTCGTTTACAGTTTCTTCTTTTACTACTGCCGGTGCTGCTGCAAGTGCCTTGTGATGGATGACCTGGTGATGGCTTCCTTGATGATGCCGACTCGGCCGCATGCATAACACATATAGGTAGCCATCTACGTACGAGGATTGCTTGAAAAGTTCACGTTCGGTGTCATTCTGTAACAAAAAATAATCGGTCAAGTGCAAATTAGGCCTTGCTAAATCTGCGAATATAATGAAATTCGGATCATGCCATGTTTACGTATTTTTTGTCAAACTTCTTAAGCGGTATCTGTCTTCGGAAATAAGGTTTGGAAAGCACTTTAAACAATTTTTTCTTTTGACGTGACAACGTCTTATAATTCGATGGAGCCGGCTGCACGCACGAATAAACATGATTCATGCGGCGTTACCTCGCTCTGAGGCGTTCCATTTAAGGCTTGAAGTGCAAGCGAGAGCGCGGAACGAGCGCCAAAGAGGCACAATCGGCCTCCGCGTTCGGCAGCGTTCGACATCTGTCTCTCTCCTACTTGAGTGAGCGATGCGATCGCGTGGACAGCTGCTATACAATAATACATTTCCATTTACCTCCTTCTCTATATCCATACAAAATATCTATCAAACAAATAAAATTAAAATTTTCTTTTGAAAAATGAAACCATTCCATCAGTATTTTCTTATGACGTTGTCACGTTCAACAAAATTAGTCCCCCACCTTCTGCTTAACGAAAGTGTAACGCGAGGGTCTGACTCCTTCTCCTCCTTCCTCCACCTTCAGCCAATCAATGAAGCAGATTAAGTGGCTGACTTTCAATTAATGTACGTTTGATAGCCAACTCAGCTTCCTGAGTATCCCTTCGGTTGAAATAAGTTTCATCCACAACTGTAGCAGGAAAATGGTTGGGTCTAGTGGATATTTTACATTCTTACCACCGTCGCCCGTACCGGGGATCCTTTGGAGAGACATCATCAACTAAGGGGCCATTTAGGAGAACGACCATGGACGTAGTTGAGCAAAGAAAACGCAAGAAGCGTTTCAGATGTGATGTTATTAGAGAATGTTAAACAATCCGTAATTAGGGAAGGTTAGAAATGAATAGGGATTAAAAAGAGTAAAAAAACAGAGGCTGCTATGGAAGTCAGTACATAATAAGCGAGATAGGTAGGCCTAGATTAGATTACCATTCGCAAGATGTTAGAGATGTAGAAGATTGACTCATAATAGAAACAAGTGAAGCTGCGTATCCAAGCAATAACTAGCCTGAAGGCCTAGTAATGATGAAGATGTTAAGACGGACATAAATATTTCTATTCTTCGTATTAATTGGTTGAACTGATGAAAGTAGTGTATAATAGATTTGTACCGAAGGGGATACTTTAGTGGTCCGAACCACATTTTGGCATTTGAAACAGCAAGTACAGGTCGCACGAACGAAGCTGGCGAGTGGTTGCGCAGGTACTTGGGTAAATCACTCGGAACCGTCACACAAATAAGTTTTCAGTAGCCGTAATCTATTGTAAAATATATTGAAACATAATACAAAAAAAAAAATTAACCTAATACTTTTGTTTGTTTTATAGTTAGTTTTTACATTCACTGTCCTCATCTGAATCAATATCACTGTCACCGACATTAACAATTAGTTCTTCTGTTTGTATGTCTATTACTTGTTCATTATTTAACATCATAAGGTCGTCAGTCCTAAGACTGGTTGGACACGTACCTCCACTCTTTCCTATTCTGAGCTAAACTAGAGCAACCCACATCCTTAACTATTTGCGAACAGTAATCTAATCTAGGTCTACCTCTACCCCTCCTAACTCCTGTTTCCGCCTCTTAATATGTCTCTGACTAGACCTTCATGCCTGAGAAGGTGTCCTACCAATCTATCTCGCCTATTTTTTATTGACTGCCATAGAGTCCTCTGTTCTCCTATTCTTTCTAATACCTCTTCATTTCTAACCTTTTCTATCCACGTTATCCTCATCATTCGCCTATAACACCACATTTCGAAGGCTTCTAACCTTTTCTTATCTAACGTAACATTTAAATAAATCACGTTATAACTATAAACAACTAAATTGTTGTTCCTATTTTTTTTATATAAACTTTAAATAACTACAACAAGAAAATCAACCGAATAAGTTAATTTTCTAAACTGATCCCTGATTTTTAAATATTTAATCGACGCCCCTGATAGGAATACTGAAGAAAGAGGGTTGCAATTGTCATAACTAAAACTGCCTACTTTTGCCCCTACGCATCCACACCATTTTAAAATTTCCGCCAGCTACTAGCGTCAGAGTAGTATCGAAAACATTTTTAGTAACCCTCGTACAATCTTTTAAGATTTTATTGAGTAATCATAAACACCGTGATGCGATTCGAAGCGATTTACCTTCCTTTCTTGTCATTTCTCGCTCATATACGCAACGCAATTTGTTTCAGGAATTATTACCTTTAATTCACTTAGATTGTAGTCCACATGTGGGCAGTTGTTACGTGGACATTTGGCCAAAGCAGTTGCGGATATTCGGATGATCTACGTATGAACGTATAATATGAAAGTTTACTCCACTAAATCATATTTATAAAATTGTTACATCTGTCTGATGTGCATTCATTTCTTGAAGGTTGAAATTAGAGCGGTTTTAAGTATTTTACGTTGTCCTATCTGATCAGAGAAAATGTAAGGTTTATTGTTTCTATACCATAAGTGGTAAAAAATTGAAATAATTACATAAAATGATCCAGTATTTAATGTTTTATCGGCAAGAATAATCAGCAAAGAAGTTATTTTTGCTGTATATTATTTTTTATTTGCAGTTTCAAAATACGTATGTATATACGTAATACGTAAACTCTTTTTGGTTAGCAAAATCATAAGTTGGCTCGTTGGATTATTCCACGAATACTAATTAATTCGAATCAGCTACGGGTTTTTTTCTTTTTAGTTTAACCTCGAGAAGGGGAAATCTTCTAAAGACTTCCCCCAAAAGAGGGGTAGCGTCAGATTCACTCCTGGTGGGAGCGCCTACAGACTAAAAACCCATTTTAACATATAGATGCGATTAATTTCGGTTGAAGGAAACGTATAAAATCAATCGAGTATTTAGTTTTCGAAAATTTACACACCTTTAAATACATGCAATATGTTTTGAAGTAATATTTCTCATATGGCGCGGAGCTTAAATAAAATACATGCTACGAAGTTACTAGTTACAGATTAGAATGTATCCCCTTTCTCTAACGAGCTTGTTACGTCATCTATGACTATTACACTCTAATTGATACCCTGCGCAGCGGACCATCGAGAACAACTTTGGTCACACCCCTACGGCTCGCGCCGTAGATTAAGCGAACTATGTACTAATTTCTGCTCCTATCTTCTTGGTACCAGGGATAAGTGTTATTCACCAAGGCTTTAGCTTAGGTTATAAGGAAGTTTCGAGAAAGTATTCCGTAATTGGCATATATAAAGTTGTATGCATCAAGGATAAGTGCAAAGAACCAAGGCATCAGATTAAGTTTCAGTACTTTTATTTTCGTAAATGCAGTAAAATGATGTATAACATTCGTCCTCATAAGTCAAAAGTCGTAAAATTTTGTAAGTTGTGACACACAAACTTAATAAATAAATGTAGTTTACACTGTCATAAATTAAAGCGGAATTGCGTAGGAGTTGGTTACGAAAAAGAAAAATGTACTGACTTCACAGAATCATTTGTTGTTAAATGATTATTAAAGTCGTATCTAAGAAGGACATTCGGCGGCATATGAAAGAAAACGAATCTCGCAAACGGCCGGCGAAAAAGTGATTATCAATTCCACTATGAATGTCTGAAGCTTCTTAAATGTACCCGTTATTTCTTTTAGCCTACCTAAAACTTAAGGCACTTTCAGAAATTGTGTTAAGCGGTAACCGTAATCTTAAGACCGGCTTCACATTGTAAGAATTTTTCTGTCAGAAGGTTTTTGATGCTTGTCGGTACCACCTCGCATTCCTATCAGAAATTTGATCCAGGAAGTTTACGTTCTGTTCAAAACTGATCGTCAATATCATTGGTACATCATAGTCAAAAGCAATGGACGACGATTGCTTTTACTGAAAAAAAAATAGAACATGGATACTGGGTTCATCCTGTTAATTTCAGAATATTGTAAGACAGCCAATTTTATATGAAACACGCGTAATTGAGACACTATCGAGATAAATTTCTATGGAATATATCAGCCCAGATCTCAATTCATTTTATTGTGATAGATTTAGTAGAAAAAGTAAGGAAATAAAGATAGGAGACGAAAAATTAGAAGAAGTGGCCGATTTTAGGTATCTAGGAAGTCAGATAAGTCGGGACGGAAGGAGTAGTAGGGATATAAATCAGAGGATAGCGCAGGGTAGAGTCGCCTTTAATAAAAGAAGTCACTTCTATGCTTGTGAACGGTTAAATTAGAAATTCGAAAAAGATTGATAAGGGGGTATGTTTGGGAGCACGGCGCTGTATGGGTGCGCAACATGGATAGTGGGCGCGGCGGAATAGAAAAGGTTAGAAGCGTTCGAAATGTGGTGTTACAGGCGAATGATGAGGATACCGTGGATAGAGAAGGTTAGAAATGAAGAGGTATTAGAAAGAGCAAGAGAACAGAGGACTCCATGGAAGTCAATACGAAATAGGCGAGATAGGTTAGTAGGACACCTTCTCAGGCATGAAGGTCTAATCAGAGAC